GTCGAAACAAAGCTATTTGTTGTGACTAAGATTGTTATGTCGCGAAATAAATTGTGCGCCGCATTATCGAACAATATCACGTGCGTCTTATACAAATAAAGGGTGCAATAAACTCAATTTCAAAGGTTTTATTTTTAAAAATAACATGCATATCGGCGGGTCATTGAGGTAACTGTTAAAAGAGACAGCCTCAACTACTAAATGCAATTGTTTCCAATTATATAACAAAATTGACAAGTCCTTTCAGTAGTAACATAAAACAGTATGGATCGATATGTATTGGGGATCACAAGTCTATGCTCTATTAATTACCTAGAAAAGAAAGTAACTAATAATTCGTAGATCTAAAAAAGTCAGTCATTGTTAGTCCATAATTTTACTCAACCTTTAACACGAAACAATCGCTTACTATCTCGTGCGGTACGTATCGGTTTCAAACTAAAATTAGAAAAAATATTAAGATAGCCAAGAGCTCTAGTGTTATTTGGTTTTTGGTTCGACTTTGGTTCAACACGTTTGTACGAGTATACGCGAAATTCGCAGTCAAAATATTTGAACACGGTTTCATTTAAAATGCAATGCTGTATGCATGTATTACTTTTGTTATATTAACCCATAAACTCACTAGCAGAAGATAGTTTACGTACTAAGTATGGACGCCAACGTGGCTTTTACCAAAAGTTCTTTCTTTATAATTGAACGAAAACGTCGCATGATAATTCCAATTCTTTATTGATGGCACAATGAGCCAAACCGTGCACAGTGCATTCGATAGAAACGCTGAAAATGTCAAAAAAAGTATGGACCATCGACCAGCGGGCGATTATCGAAAAATTAAGAAAACATTTGGAATAATGTAGCTTGTTCTTAAACCCTTTAACCTCGTTTTTTTAACCCTATCATCATCTGGGGATGACCTAAAGGAAATTGGTAGTAATCGAAGATCATGCGTGTTTAGATGTGGATGTGGTGTGGCATAAAAATTGTTGTATCGTTGTACATATCGGTTGCGTGAATGAATGAATGAATGACAAAGCTCTACCCATCCTTACACGTAACACGTTAGGATGAGATATAAATGATGTGTCTATATGTTGATATAAGGAAACAAGTCTTTGTCTACCGCCCTGGATGTCTTATGTGTTAATGGTACCTATATAACAACTTAGATGCTGCCCGCGAGTACGTCTGCGTAGAATAGGCTGAAGGCGTAACATTCAGACAGAAAAACAGATATACATAAGAATATGTATATAAATTAAAGCCTATGTCTTATTCTGATATGTGGTATAAGCTATATTATTTTAAAGTTTCATTAAAATCCATTCAGTCGTATTTGCGTGAAAGAGTAAACATCCGTCCATACAATTTTTCCCCTATATAATATTAGTTAGGATTTGTTGTACACGTTGTTAAAGTACCAGGCTGCCATGACTGAGTCAGAGTAAACATTGCGGGTCGCGTTTCGGTTGCGTAACCCGTCGGGCAGACATTGACGCCGGCGCCGCTGGTCGACGTGAATGTTAAGCTTGATACAGCTTATGGTAAATAGAGCGATGAGGTATTAGCTTTGTTCGGTTAGAGAGAAAATTCGCAACACGTTAATCTCACACGCATCATTGATTCCTCTTTATTTTCTCATAGCGGTTTTCGGTGTTAACAATAGATACTTACTTAGATACTTTTCCGTTTGAGAACGCTTACAATTGCGTGACGCATGCGTTCAAGCTGCACTTCATTAACCAATAATATTACAGATATGTTTGAGCTGTGTGTGGAAAATTAATAAAAATCTTGTGTCTTGCATTTTTCTTCCTTTGGCTAAGTTGAATGGTACTTCAATCGATTTTTAATCTGGCTTTTCTTTATTACTTAAGCATCACATCAAACTTTGACAGTAATAAATTTAGGTTAACCTGCAAAGTTCACAAGAACTGTAAATAATATGTAAAATGTAGATAATGTAGTAAAGTTTTATTTAAAGTAAAGTCGGATTTTGTAGATATTCTTATATCTATAAAATCTCCAAAACCAACTCAAATATCCGAGTTTGAAACATTTACATAATTTTGTCATATGTACATTTCTAACAATATAAAACAGATTTGGTATAACGTCGTGTCTTATTAGTTACGTAATCCAACTATTATTATTTATTGTGCCCATAAACGTTCTCGAGTTAATTCCTCGTTAAATTGTTTCGTAATGATAAATCGGGTGTCATAAATAAACATGCAAGCAATTCCCGAAATATTTTTAACGATGACAGCCCAAATTAACTTAACTGATAGCTTAATTCCGAGCTTTCTCGTCCATTTGGAGATGCACTGTATTTATTCATGAAGCAACAACGCTTTGAAAATGGTAATTTACTATCGATCATCACATTTAATTGTCGTCTAGAGCGTGCAAGCGAAGACGCAATTAGATCATGTTCTCCTGGCAATTTGAGCATGCATTGATGTGTCCACATCAGTGTCAGTTGCGGCATATATTTAATATCTCCTAAAGAAATAATAACTTTAGACTAATAATAACTTGCCTGAAATAATAACTTTTATCCGTCTCATCATCATGATATTCATCATCATTTCCTCATATAAGCCTGTTTGAGTCCATTGATGAACATATGCCTCCCCCACAGACTGCCACGTTTATCCGTCTACTCAGAATATTTCTGTTAACAAAGGGCCGTAAATATTTGACAAGGCAAAGTTAAGAAAAAGTACTATAGTGTAACGCCACGACTCTTTGCTGGTCGCTCGTGTCCGTGGTTTTCATTATACGACCATTTATGTCTATGGGAGACCTTCTCCTTTACGTACGTACTGGTCAAAATAAGCTCCGGGGAAATCACAATTTTCTGCGATATCACGTATGTCTGACACTTTATCACTATTAAAATATTCAGTCATATCTCATGGAATTATACGCGTAGCAATTTTGAGGATCTTACACAACGTGGTGTTACTTAATAAATTTATGGTTCGAATGAGAGGCGACATAAGTTTGCATATTTGGAGAACATCGCAAAATCTCACCGATAAATGTCACCGACGCGACATTTCGTATGAAATCCTAATTGATTGCGCGATTTCGTTGTTAGGACATCTGGGTGGATGTATCGTTGCAGTCCATTTTGTCCAGTATTTAGTTCAAATATTATGTGTTAATACGTAATCCAATTGAAAGTGTAACTTTTAAGTAAATTTGAGTTATAACTGTAGCACGAATGGGCAGGTCCGTCCCGGGTTATCAAGACCTCACAGAAGACCAGCGTGAAGTAGAAGTACCAGCTTCTCTCATAAAAATAAGCATATAGTCCTTAGTTCGATATTGATTGTTCTATGTAAGGAATGTATGAGATTGGCCGTCAAAGTTATAAAAAAGTTTATATTCATATCTCGTAACAGAATAGATGGCTCGTAAGTTTCCATCGAATTATTGCATAAAAGCTTTGTTCCTTTTTTAAATAGTCTCGGTTCGAGTTTATCAATTTCATTTAATAGTTATGCAGCTAGATTTTAGTTTTATAATGAAATACGATTAACAATCTTTTGACCTCGTGATAGAAAGCAAAGTTGCATGACCGCTATGCCATGGACCGCTAATCCGTGACCAATGTCAAGTATGATGCTAACGCCCGCGATTGAAAAATCGTGCGAATGTGGGCTTGCGCAATCGACGTCTTGTCGATATTCCATATGCATGACTGGGGTCACCACAATATGGAATTTTATCGAGACCGTAAAGATAGCTTGAATACACGAACATTGGGTCACTATCACGTTTTAATATCTGACGCGGTAGAAAATCGAAGGTGCGTTGAAAATTTAAGTTGAATAAGCTTTCAGTATTAAAATAAAACGTTTCACCAAAGATATATGGTGAAACTCATTCAATTATTATATTAAGAATTCGTAAAATAGACCGAGGCCTTGGTAAGAACTCGAACCAGACGAGTTCAAGCCTCATTCGTTTCCACTGCTTCAAACAAATAATTATATTATTCACTTTATAATTGAGGGCTTTTTTTTCGACTTATAAAGCATGTTTATATTTATAAGTCTTTTGATAAAATCTCATAACGATTTATATATTGTCTATAAAATCTGTTTAGCGAACGTATTAAGAACGGCAATTGTGGTTACACTCGTCTGAGCTTTGCAACATAAATTGGTCCATACGCAGTCGCCAAGGTCTCCGGGGGTTAATCCGGACACCGCATTACGATATCTATCGTAATTTCACTCGATTTCACGTCGCGGATCGCGTGGAAAGGGAATTCGCATACGAATTGTCGTCTGATGCGTGAATATACGAAATCTTATATATTTATTTATTTATTATGCCGTTTGAAAGGATGGGATGGTATATTGCGGTGCCGCGTTAAATTTTTTTTATCAATCGATTTGGCATGAATAAAATAAAATAGAAAAGATCAAATTCCATTCAAATGTATTCAACTCACGAAGTTATCACTTAGTAAAAAAAAGGAAAAAAAATCTCTTGCTATGAGAATCAAAGCCGTAATAGCTCAGTGTCTGGACCTTTAATTCAATATATTCCAGCAAATGAATTCGATCCCCGGTGTCGGCACCATTTAAATTGTTAATTTTAAGCGTTGAGTTATCACGTGCTCAGCGGTGAAGGAAAAAATCCTGAGGAAACCTGCATATTTTTCGAAATAATAACAGAAAAAAAATATTTAGAAGATACGTGAACTCCGCCAATCCGCAGTGAGGCCGCGTGGTGAACTATGCCCTTACACTGTACAAAGGAGGACTTTGCCCAGCAGTAGGACATGTGTGACACTTAACTTATACTAATATAAATGCGTGATGTATTTAATATTTTTTTATTCTTCTTTTTTTTCTTTTCACTATGTATTTTTTGTTTATGGTTGAAATGTACATGTGGCGTATTTAAGCAATAAATGTTTCCTTTCTTCTTTCTACTTTTATGAGAATCATGATAATCGAAGGTCTTGTTTGGTCCAGATGACGAGGAGGAGTGCGGCGTCATGTCCGAGGGCTCGGAGACGTCGGAGTGCGGGCGCGCCGACACCGACGACGAGGGCATCGAGAGGGACGCGGAGCCGGCGCCGCGAAGGCGCGCGCGCCGCAGGCGGTTCATGCTCAAGGACGTGGTCGAGGTGAGCACGCGGAATGGTCATGTTTCGCGAAGACCCCAACAGTTCAACCGCGGTATAGGTGAGCTTTGTCCAAACAGCTTGACCTTTTCGCGGTGGCAGGGCCACGCAGCAGCCTCGGCTGTTGCACCAATGGGCAGGCTCGTCCCGGTAAGTATCACGACCTCACGGAAGACCGGCGTAAAGTGGAAGTATAATGCTTTCGCGTTTCGTCTGGTGAGTGAGGTGGCCGGAGCCCATATTTCAAAAGGTTATCAACGCATCTGGAACTCGGGTGTAGCAGATGTCCATGGGCGGGGCGGTATTAACTAAACACCAGGTGAACCACCTGCTCGCTTGGCAACTTTTCACATAAAAAAGAGGCCAAAAAGACATGCATTTCACCCGGGATATGTGTGCTTTGCTCAAACAGCTTGTGCAAAAAGTACAAACAGATGCAGTTCGCCCGGTATAGGTGCGCGTTGCTCAAATAGCTTGAATAAAAAGTCCAAAAACACATGCATTTCTCCCGGCTTAAGCAAAAAGCGGCATAATGGGGGAGAGTTTGCGCGTATCCACTTTCCTGACACCAAGAGGCTTTCGTGCTCATTATTCCGTGGTGCGGCTTCGGATGAGGCTATTCTTTCATACAACAGCAGAAGCTGATGAGAATGCCGAAGAAATCACAGTGCGCGACCGTAATACATGACGCGATCAATTAAAATGCCAAAGCGCCGAACCTGACATTGATTCGAGTACGAAACGACCTTCTTACCAAGCTCAACATTAAAACGTTGCGCTTGAAAAGCAGAACGATGTATGAGATGTTCTTAAACAGAGTGTCATTATCATTGTTATAATGATTACAACCAGTGAAACCGACCAAAGCTTGTGAATGCAAGGCAAGGAGATCAGTTATGCGGTATCCATCGCCAGCCTAAGCAATAAAGGCAAACTTTATCTGTTGCAGCGCCTTTATTACCAAGGTCGCTGTAACTTTTCTAACTTTAGTTTCCACAAATCACCTTATCTTTATAGCGTCGTAACACTGATCCTCGATTATCTTTATCTGTTTGTTCTGTATCTCCATCTTTCCAGTTTTATTGAGTGACATGGTCAACACTCCCATGCGAACGCTGTATGAGACAGGCTTATATGCCTTTCCATTTTTTTTACTTTAAATTAAAAAAAAATTCTGCATTAATATTTGTTCTCTAATTACTTAGTAAATTTTTGCATTCCTTAAAATGTTTATTACACAGCATAAGTTCTAGTATTTAAAGCTAAAACATATATTTATTTTCGCCTATTCTATCAAAATTGTATTTTTGTTTTGTAACATCTTAAGCAGTACCTACGGTTCGGTAGCGCAGTTGCTAAGCCATACGGGTGGTGAGTTCAGTTCCCACACGGAACTAGTATTTGTGTGATTCACAAAAAAAAATTAAAAAATTAAAAAATCTATTCAATATCCCACGTAGGTGGGAGAAGGTTAGGAGAAAGGTGAATAATGTGTAAACCAAAAGTCAAAACTCTGCGTTCAAATAATTAATATGTTCAGAAATTTTTACCACTAAACTTACCTAATATATGAATATCGTTAAAAATTTACGAAACCATAATACCATTGCATATGGTGTATTTATAATCAATCCACGGGCGTGTTAGCCTTCCTTAACACCATTCCGTGTGACGTTGTATTGCGTCACGTTACCAGGGCATCATGACGTCTACTTTCGCTCGCACCGATTAGGGGACTGTGCCGCCGCGGGCCTTATGCGCTCCCGATGCGCTCGTTAAGTGAATCTTTATTATTATGATTATTCAAATTTCACGATATAACAGAAGTGGAGTGCGTTTCCTTGGCGTTTCATTCGGTGGTCAATTTGGGAGTAATTTATTCCGGCTGACCCGTAGGCTCCTTGCGCAATACTAAGTGTTGGAGATCGCTCTCTGTCGCTGCACGTGGACGCCGTATCTGTGTTTAAATGATCCGTAAGTACAGCTACAAGAGATAGCTGACCCCGGAGGTCTGGTTGTTTTGTAATAAGACATAAACTTATTTGATTACATTTTGACCGTAGCGTCTCTAGGTTTAGTTGATATACATTTGTTGCAGTGGGATAAAAAAGTTGTTACTACTTCAATAGCCCTATTAATTGAACATTTAATTTTGGTTTATACCTTAATTCTTGTTTTAGCTAATTGCCTTTGTACACGGATGACATAAAAACTTTAAGGAGTGAAGAAAATGATCCCCGAAATGACGAAAATTCATGTTTGATTAAAAAAGATATTTGAGAATCGGTCCACAAATCGGTGAACATATGTAAAAAAATTACATTACAGTCGAACATAAAACCTCATCCTTTTTTGAAATCGGTTAGAAACGGGCACATATATACATCGATATTTAGATTGATCATTTAATAAGTTACAAATACTCATCCAAATTACAATCGAACCAATGACTTCTATGTCCGGGACTAAAATGACAAGTCATTTACTAGTGACTTACGCCTTTTCCACATGTTGTGTCTCATCATTAATATAAAATAAAAGTTGTTTTCTTACGAAACTAGTTGCACTAATGATCGGAGACTTTGTTGTTGCGTTCATTAATGAATGACTAAATTAATCATAAAAAATAATGTTCAGAAATACATTCCGATATCGGAATTTTCGGAGAGCGTGTGTGGGCTTTAATGTTTATTAGGAAGAAAGTGATATTAAGCTTTGAAGTGCGGGAAACTTTCCGTTCGATGCATTTTTAGTAAGTGATTTTAGACAATTTTATTCATTGAATGTTTGTTATGTAACAAGCTAAAAGAAAACCCGTGTGTGTAATGTCTGCCAGAAAAAGCTTTTTTGAAGTGAAAACTTCTATAGGCACGTTGGGCAGATTTTTGGATGGGGAAATATTCGTAGGTCACCGAAATAATGATGTTACGTGTTTTATCATTGAATTTGGTGACTTTATAATTTTGATATAATTTGGTTTTCTAATATTCGATCTCTATAAAACCTAGCGATGTTCGATATTACTTTATTGCCATTTTAGATTTAAAATCCTATCGTATATATATCCATTCGTATCATATTCGTTATATTAAATTTAAGTATTGAAGTGTCTAATTGTCTATATATATGTTCAGGCCGATGTCCAAACTCCATTGTGTTCATTTAAAGCAAGTGCTAATTGGTGGTAAAATGTGGCGTAAAAACGAACAACATGTTGCAGCTTGCGAACTTGTGCTTATCGTCAGTGAATTTTATTAGACCATTTAACTGGTTTGTCGCATTATTTGGTTTGCCGTTCACTCATTATTTTCATAATATTTAATGACCTTTTCATTGGCGCTCGAACCCAACATAGATATGGACCATAATCACGACAGAACAGTAAGATATTGTGAGAATAAAACCTCCATGTTAATAATTTTTAATTCTTATGTTTATTTTAGTAATTTATCATCACGTTTATAAGATATTATAAATTGTAAAAACGGACTATTAATATAATATAAAGTTAATCGTTAATGCATAATGCATTAAATTTCATAGGCTAATTAATATGTTAATAATTTGGTGAGATGTAATGGAAATTCTGCTAGTTTACTTAAGCTCTGTAAATAATTTATTAGAATTTTGGAATTCTTTGAGTATTCTTTTTTGACATATTGTGAATAATGAAAGAAAAAAGAAATTATTTTTTTTAATTTTTTCTTTCCATCAAAAAGAATATTAAAATATGTTTGTCAATGATAAATGAGTGAATATGTACAAGAACTTTGTAATGTTTGTCTAAAGATGGATAATTTTCAGCGGGATTTTTTTCGAAATGAAAAATGAATTTAAAAACAGGCCCTTGAGCTGTGTATGACATTAATGTTTTTATTACATAATCAATGTCAAATGTCGTTTCCTGTTGAATGGTTTTCATGCTTATTGTGTTTGTCTTTAATTTGGTTTATTATTTTTGTTTTGTATCCAAGACTACACGTGAACTCGCTTTGTTTATTATTTATAGGGTAGTTCAAATTTTGTATTCGTCTTTGGCGTATTACGGGGGGGTATTTGAATATCTCTCACACAGACAGGTCATCTTTGACACGTTGAATGTAATAATGCAAGTCCGTGCATGCCTGTGATGCCTTACTTTTCATTTATTCCGATTCATATCTACATACGAATATTTTCGACGGTTATTTTTACGATCGTGTGCCGTGGTGAAAGGTTTAAAATGGATTGCACGGGTTCTAACCGATCCGTAACTCTCAAGTCGTCTTGCATATTGGACATAATATGCAATGAAACGTCAAGATGCGCGCTTATCGACGTAAGTTTATACAATACTGTTATTATCATAGAATTATGGATGGCATTGTTTAATAATGCCATCCACTACAGTTCTTACTTTTTATTTTATCTTTATTTATTAACAAGGAATTTGGTTATAAAGTTGGATATTAATATAAGTAGAAATTAATAACAAACGTAACATAAAGCGTTACCGTTATTTTATGATAAGGTGTTACGCTAATAGTAAACTTAGTAAATGTTATATAGTGATTATGCTGATTAGGCCTTTGCCAATCTTTCTTAGGCAATTAGTTAACAGATCATTTAATTGTCATTCATCCGTGTCAACATATAAAATGTTGAAACACGTACGTGTGAGAAAACAATAATGCATACAATCAAATGTCATATTTTAAAGCTCACATTTTGATAGAAGAAATACTACCCTTCTTAAATAATTATTCAATATTTACAATCGCTAAATAGAAATTCAATGAAATTCATTATATACTTGTCTTCGCATACGCAACATAGCGATCAACATAGTCTCATGGTCATTTCGATACACTTTACTAACATAAGAGGTTGAGTTTTTTGTCGTTGTTGGCAAACGATTCTTTTACGCGAAGTAACCGGAAATCTTATGTGATATAAGATTTACATTAGCAAAACGACTTCGCGTCTGCAACTGCATATGTATTATATTTACCAGATATATATCTTATATTTACGAGAACACTATATATTATTAATGAAACACAGGAAGGTATAAGTTCTAGTGATTACGAACGACAAAAAATATTCGGAACTTGGCTGGATTAAAATAAATCATAAAAATACTACATATTAATATAATTATAACAGTTCCCACTTCTTTATTCCGAATTATAAATTCTATACGTTTCATAGAGGTTATAATCTTTCAAAACTTCTTTCTTTACTATCTAGTTTTCTTGTCTACTTCTAGCTAGTTACTTTAGTTTTTTAGTTAGAAATTTTGGGTGCATGGTAATTAACTGTTCATCATTTGTAAGAACTATATTGTCATTTCATTTGGAACCCACCAAAGCTCGTGTTTTCCGCCACTAGGTCAACTCTTTACATCACTGATGACCATAAATTCCCTCCCCAGCATTCTCCCCAGTTGACCCAATGACCGATTTGCAGTGAGAAACGAACTACACACATATTATAGGAGCTAGTAGATTGCTATTAAGAAAACAGCAGCGGAGATCAGTGCTTTTGTCGATTTTTGATTTTAATTGGATATTAATAAATATTTATGATAAAATTGTACGTCAAAACCTCGCTCATTTAGACTAAAGGGGATATCCTGAGGTGTAAATTTGGTTATAAAGTGATCATTTGAAAAGAAAGGATATTCTCATCCTTCCTTACTAATATTATAAAGGCAAAAGTTTGTATGTATGGATAGATGTTTGTTACTCTTTCACGCAAATAGGACGCATTCAGTAGGAATGGATTTTAATGAAACTTTACAATAATATAGCTTATACATCAGAATAAGACATAGGCTATAATTTATATACATATTTTATGTATATCTGTCTTTCTGTCTGAATGTTACGCCTTCAGCCTATTCTACGCAGACGTAGTCGCGGGTAGCAGCTAGTAAGGTATAAAGGTCATAATAGTTCGGAGATCTTCCAAACTGGAGAACGTAATGTTAATTTTAGTTTGAATGCAAATTTACGGAGGAAAGTTCTATAACTACTCATTTATGCATGAACTGATTTTAGTTATTACTTATATGAAGAAATTGATCGAACTTATTAAACAGCATGGTCAGTTTTACTGTTCTATCAAGTATTTTTATTTTGATATACTGAACCCTCTGAAATGGCAACGTTTCAGCGCAATTTTCTTAGCTTTAGCGTCTAAATCGAAAGAAATTGGGTCACGCCAGCCACGGCACGGGCGGTAAGCCCGCTTCGATTAAACTTACATTCTATCTTACATTTTGCACATTTCCGACATACATTTCCTTTTACTTCTAAATTAATTCCATTCTATATAATATTTTCAAAATGAATATGCTTTAGACAAACCTTTATCCGCGCAACCAGAACTCAAACATCAATCAACAACCAAAACTCAAATCGGAATCAATGAAGTTATTGCTATGTGGAGTGCTTTCATAACACGATACAGCACTCAGCGGTGAAAGAAAACTTTGTAAGCCCATTTATGATTTATATACAAATCTAACGCCCAGTTTCTGAAACACTGATCATCGTAAGAGTCGACTAATCAGCAGTCCTGATGACGATCTGATCATTAAGGTCATTCTAATCAATTCAGAGAGTTTAACAGTCCTTTTGGCAACTCAAATAACATTTGAAAATCCATTTGACAGCTGGTGGCATTAGGGACCGGGCGTAAGTGAAAAAGAATATTTGCAAGATGTACGAAGTCCGACGAACCGCAAGTGGCTCATGGCGGATTATTGTTAGTACATGAGCCAATTTTGTTTTAAATTAATTTATGGACAAAAAATTTGAATCTGCACCTGATTTCCGCGTCCAGACTATTTACCCACTAAGCTCCGGTCGACACCTTTACCGCGCGAAAATGTTGAACTCTTAATTTTCAAATAGTCATAGCAAAATATCAAAACGCAAAACTATAATACTTCACTTCGGTATCCTGTGGGGCAGTTGTATCCTCAGAAAGAACTTCAAGAAACAGCAGAAGCTGCTGTGTTTATCTATCACCTTTGTGATAAGTGGAAAAACGTTCTATTATATACTAGCGACCCGACCCGGCATCGCGCGGGTGCAATGTATTAAACATACCAAAACCTAAACCTTCCTCTTGATCACACTATCCAGTAAAAAAACCGCAGCAAGATCCGTTGCGTATTTTTAAAGATATAAGCGTATACATAAAGACAGAAAGGCAGCGGGACTATTTTGTTTTATACTGTGCAGTGATACTATTTCTATTATGTATAATACATAAATTCTATCCTATTCTATTAAAGTTTCTCTTCGATACCAATCAACCGCGCTGCCATTAACGATACGATGCTTCATCGCAATCCGCACTGTTATTCGTCAAGCCTTAGTAATCTGCATATTGTTCATATAAAGTTTTTTTTTAATGCCCAGTTATTAACAATATCTTATCTGTTGCACTGGCCTATCGGTTAACGTTAGGTAATTGCATTGACGTCATGCGGTGAAAGCTTAATTAATACACCGGCTGGTTATTGTTAGCTACATGTAGTTTATAAAGAAATGTTTTAGTTGTTAGCATGATATGCCAGAGAGTGAATGAATAAAGACAGTTTGCTGTTCACTTTCAAACGAAAATAGATAGCAAAATTCGAACAGGATTGGATATGTTTAGAAATTATTACGACTGCCGTATGTTAACTGAGGATGTGAGGTATATGAAGACGTGTATATAGAAGAGGACAGTTGTATGGATCGTGGGGACTAGGTATCTGTGATCTCCGAATGTATTACTCGCGGGGCTACGGTGGAAGAACAAGTTGTTGCAAATTCAAGTTCCCTCTATACGGGTGTTTCAAATGTCCATGGGCAAGCTCGATTGCCATGGCAATTTTCAAAAGGTTGTTAACGCATATGGAACCCTCGGGTGTAGCAGATGTCCATGGGCGGCGGTTTTCACTTAATATCAGGTGAACCGTCTGCTCGTTTGGCAACTTTTCATATGAAAAAAAAATAATAATTTGTTTACTGATGTTGGCCAACGTCTGTTCGGCAGCGCTGCGTGTGGCACTGCGGGGGCGGCGGGCGGTGCGCGCGTGACGCTGCCGCCGCCCACTACAGGGCGGTGTGCCGCGCGCTGGTGGCCGAGGCGCTCGAGCTGGCCTCCTTCCTCGCCCGCGTGAGGGTCGGCGGTGCAAGGGACCTCGGCGCCGCTGAGGACTCGGCCACGCACCTCGACACGCTGCAGTTCTCCGATTGGGTGAGTAGAGTGCGCTGGCGCCGGATGTGAACATGTCGTCGCACCGGATGTGATCAGTTCTTTTTTTAAGTGTGAAATGTGTTCGTTCAGGACATGTTTTTACACCGCGTGAACTAGACAGTCTACAGCTAGACGAATCACGCACGTCTCGCCGGATGACACCGGATGTGATTGTTTTTTTTTTTAAATGTAAAATAGAAATATGCTCAGGACATATTTTTATAAAACGCTATCTAGACCCAAACTAAGCAAAGCTTGTACTATGTGGGTTGGGTTACTATAATGGATACTAGGTACAACTATGGATATTAGGTAGCTGATTAACATACTTTTCTTTTGTAAATAAATACATATAGAAATATAAAATACCAAACACTAGAAAAACACTATTTTCATCACACAATATTTTTCCAGTAGTGGGGATCGAACCCACGCCCATTGACGCAGGAGACAGAGGCAATGGGGTAACCAATATAGCATAACGCTGTTAAATGAAGCCGTCACGTCTCGCCAAATGGCCGGATGTGATCGGTTTTTTTTATCGAATGTGTTGATAGATGGGGCTTTGATGAGAAGTGATTAATAATTAGGTTCCGCCTGTGATAACTGACAGATACAGCGTAGTGTTTAGTGAGCTTTGCCACCCCTTTTTGATTAGAGAAACTTACAGATTGTCCTTCAGTTAACAGAATGAATAGATTTCTTGGTTTACGATATAAGTGGTACGACCTAACCGACTTATTCATATTCTTTAATTGCCTTCTTTTTCCTTAGTTCGATGATCTCTTTGAATATAACTTATAGGAATTTGTATTTAAGTATTCTTGTCGCATTCAATGCAAAATAAACTTCCACTGCCGATGACAGAAGCAACCGAAACCAACATTTTTCAAGTTCAAAGCACTCGTCCAATGCAAATTTCCCTAAATTCGTATTCAAAGGCGCTCCTCTAAAAAATAGTCGTCCCGTACAGAACGCTGTGCGTTAACGCTCCTAGCGTTACACCAAATTGCTTGAATGTTATCACAGTGAAAGACAGTCTTAAGGCTTTATTTTATGATTGATTTTACTTTGGCCCGGTTTCCTTTTCCGATGACGTAATTTGACACGAGAATAGCGCCGCGAAAGACGATTTAATATTAATGGCGGAAGGTGATCTGGGAATTTCGTTTTGAATTAGTCGCGGGCGATGAGCCGTGCGAACTATGGAGCCTTCTCCGGCCGTAAGACATTCCTTTCGCACACCACTATTGCTTTATATAATACTAGCTTTTCTCCCGCAGCTCCGCTCGCATTGAAGCCCTTAAATAGATATCTGTCAACACTTTACAACACTTTTTTCCAATTAAAAAATAGCCCATGTCCTTTCTCAGGCTCTAGACTATCTGTGTATCAAATTTCATTTAAATCGGTTTAGTAGTTTTGGAGTGAAAGTGAGACAGACAGATAGACAGAGTTACTTTCACATTTATAATGTTAGTTTGGATATACATTCATATGTTGTAAATGCAGTAGAATGTTTTAACACATTGACATTTCAACGCTCAACGGGTAATTTTGCTTCGGAGACGTGACGTTACGAAGTAATCCTTACCGGAATATAATAAAAGTTAGCTGTTCAATGCGATTTCATCCACCCGCGTGATGTTGAAACACTAAACTTCCTCAAAATTGTTCTATCAAATGCAAAAAGATTTTTTCAAATCAGACTGGTAGTTCCAGATATTGGCACGCTCATACAAACGAACAAACTCCTTACCTTTATTATATAAGTATAGATTAAATTCTTATTATTGTAACGTTTGCAAAGAAAATGAAACTTTGAATACGTCACTGTATACTAGAAACACGTACTATCAGATTATGAAAACGATGATTGTGCATGACACATCGTGTTGCGCTAAATCGCGAACTTAACATTATACAAATAACCTGAGGTCACTTAGCATGTCCCTTCCAGTCGCCAGTCGTCTTCGCTTGTCTCATCACTTTTCCTTTCACAAAGTACATCTATCTATTCTCGCGTCATCCTCTCCCAGTTTTTCCTATATCTCTCACCTTACAGTAACGGACATTCCATTATATACATATGTAGAAGTATATTCAATATACGAGTTGTTATTGCTACGTGTTGATAGAGAATTTCTGCGTGTAAAAATTCCAACATTAACATTTTACGTTCCGTTACAAATGCTGCGATAAAAATGTTATACTGTAATAAACTCGAGATCTGAACAAGTTTTTTGGTAATAACAATTAATCTCCTTGTAATATGATTTCGGTCTTTGTAAAATTTTCTTATTACACGCAACGTTAGCCCTTGCTCAAGCGAAGCAGAGACTTAATGGCCACGCCACGAATACAGTGGAAAAGGTCACCGAACATCGCCTACTGCCCTCACGAAAATAGCAAAATGACATTTTGTAGAACTCCGTCCTCGACCCGTAGACGTTTAATCGTTGAAAATATTAACGTCAAAGCTCCCTTCGGTTAAATATTTTAAGCCGCTGAAGAGTTTGAGACGGGGACAAATTATTTTAATAGATTTAAAGAGTAAATTGAGTATAATTCTGGTTTAGGGTGAAAAATTTGTAAAATTCGTCTACGAAGCTATGAGCACCATATTGATATTGCGTTTAAAGATTAGTATTTATTCATTGCGCGAATTACACCTGAAATTGTATTTAAATCTTATAAGAAATTAATGATAGATAGACTAATAATTACAAGTTTAAATAATATACCATTCTATTCCCTTCCTATTTCACTATTTTAGTGTTATCGACATTATAATAGGTAAAAGTATAAAATAACTTTTGTTAATAACTTAATAAGAAGCATTGGCAATATGCTACAATAATGTAATAAGCTATAAACTAAGTAAAAATAAATAGCAATAAAAAAAGATGAATACGTTACAGTGACATTAATGAATTAATGAATAACTCTTGTTGTATATCTGATTTTAGTCTAACCGAAGAATATGGAGAGCGTTGCAAGTATGTAGTACACGTGCCACGGCTGAATAGAACTTGCTTTAACACAAAATATAGACTATTGATGTTTTTATTTTATATCATCTTATATTTTCTTTAAAAATCGTGCCTTTGTAATCGATGCATGATACACAGTACCATGAAAATGTGGAAATCGCTAAAACCATATTTTATGTTTATTTTATCTTATATTTGTCCACTATTGCAGAATGTATTCGCCTGTTACTTTCTATGTAGCAACAATATTCAACCGGTTAATTGCTATCAAAAATTTTCAGGCGCGTTTTTGGATGCAAGTCATTGGAGAGTTGCGGATGGGGGTGAAATTGAAGAAGGTGAACTACTCTAGAACCCCCATCGAGTACGAGCTAACGCCCTACGAAATTCTAATGGATGACATCAGGTCAAGAAGATATACGTTAAGGAAAGTGGACGGAGCAATACCTCAAAGGTAAATGAATACCATTTTGTAGTAAATGAATGGGAAGTGATCCATTAGACACATTTATTTATGTATTAAAAATGATTTTCCTTTCAACAGTGTGAAAAAAGACGCGCATGCCATGATTCTCGAATTTATAAGAAGTAGGCCGCCACTCAAAAAGGTAAGCTTTTTTTCTTCATTCACATCACAAAAAATCGTGATACTCGTGCATTAAAACAAGCCTAAGAAACTAGAATATAAATTGTATGTTGAAATCCATTCTTAGACCTGTTTTAATTGTATCTAGATATTAAAAAAGTGGTTAATATAAAAATGGGTGAATATAATAAACTAAACTGTAACGCGCCACCATTGGAATGTACAAGGCCTTATTGTATTTTATAATGAAAATACCATTTTTAACCCATCATCTGTCGGTTGCTTGCGATTCATCGCATTTATGCTACTTTTCTACATTTGAGCAGAAATTAGCAAGAAGACCGATCAAAAAGAATCCATAATACTTCTTTGTCTTACATATCTTATAAAAAATTGTATGGATGTAACTCGTACTCATACATCTGAATTGTATGTAGATAATACATTTAGTACTGCAACGTATGATCATGCATCTACATTCCTTCGCTAGGCGCTTTTAATTTTTTATGTCATGTTCAAATAACGTGTTCACTTTGTGAAACAGTTGAGTTTTGAAGTTTATAAGTGGTTGGAAAAGGTTTCCATTGAATAGTTTTTAATGGATGAGTTTGTGCACAGGCCTCAGAACGCAAGTTGCCGCCGCCGCGACGCGAGACCACTCCTCGGGAGCAGCTACTTGCCTCCATCCAGAGAGGGCGCCCGCTGCGCCCCACGCCATATTCGCGGCGATACTGTAAGTAATAACCGTCTAAGACTGTTTGTTCCCAAATCCTCCAATACTGTTGTTTCCTTTATATCATTGCGGAATATCTCGATGACGCCAATGTGTGGAGTTAATACTGTTATACCTATGTTACATTGTAAACTGACCTTTCAAAAAGAGCAACTGTTGGCTTTCTCGCCGGTCTGTCTTCAACAGAAACTGCTTTCCGAACCGGTGGCAACTTACTTATATATCAATTTTTATGTAAACTTCGACATTGCATAAGAAAGTGCAGGCGGCTATTTGAATAAAGATATTTTGAATTTGAAATTAAATTTAATTCTTTTTATCGAAGGCGGCTAACGATGAAGTGATTCGTGACCACCATCGCCCATTAACCATAGTGTGTACGTTTCAACAACTCTTGTTGTGTTCATTCTGGTACTGCTGTTTCGTTTCAAAATACGTATGTTCCTCTGGTTGGCAACTACGCCTTCTTGTTAACCGACTTCAAGAAAGGAGGAGGTTCTCAATTCGACTGTATTTTTTATGGTTGTTACCTCAGAACTTTCGTCTGAGTGAAGCTGTGTGATTTTGACTCTCTTTTTATTTGAAAGCTGGTGCTTCCTAAGTGGTCACATATAAATTTAGTTGGTATTGGATCTTGGGCTCTGGAGATAGTTAGGGAATTTTTGAAAATCAATTATAAAATAAATACAGAGCGAGATATTTGGAGTCGGTTTTGTTTTTCGTTAATAAAAATATATTATACTTGTATTAATGATGCTTTTTCTTATCTGAATGAAACAGCACCATCTGTCATGTTGTCCCAGAGACTTTAGCGCATCAATACGCCACAAAGTGTGTACAGATGGCGCACTGTATGACAAAATAGTGACCACAAACACATTGTCGACACTCCTGTTGCCATTTATTTTTATTATATTAAATCTAAAAACGAGAATAGGAGATTTTAAATAAGACCAAACCACAAGCAATCCCCCAAAAATGTATTTCTCAAAAGTCACCAATAGTCTTGTACTTTTAATTTAACACTAAGTTAAATTAGTGATAATTTCAGGCATTGGATATCACTAATGGCTTTCCATAATCTTCCCGTTTCAATTTTGTTCCAGGTTCCCAATCCTTTCCCGGAATCCTATAACCGTGAAATGAATCCCATTCGAAGATACTCGTATATTCTATTTCTTCGAACACCGGTTATGAACGTAAACTATTGCACATTAATTTTAAACTTAACTTAAATTTAAACACAGGTCAGTGTATTTCACATGTGTATAGTAGTAAATGACTAACTACTACTTAATTTAAACACAGGTATTTGATAAAAATTTGTCCAAAGATATTGTTATTTTTTATTTAAAAAAACTATGAAAATGGTCCAGAAAACTTATTTAATGTTACGACGTTACCATTTAAAATTATTCTTATGTAATTGTGTCCTTAATTTTCATTTAAAAAAAGGATTGTTTGTATATGTAGGTATGTACATTCATTTCTTTTTTTGACAAAAAAAAATAAAGATAACAGGTATCCTGACAGTTGTATCGGGATTAGCATTTACTTTTGTACAACGTTCTTGACTTGTACAAATTCAACATGTATTTTTTACGTCCTCCTTTATTCGGAAGTAATAAATGCAATGCAATATTCACATTGACGTCTTTTCAATTATAATAGTGTAGACAGTTATCCAGATGTTCTATTAACTCTTCATTTCACTAAGTTTATGAGAATAGATTAAAGAAGTTCGCAGTCTGTGAGCACAACTTAAATCGCCCCAACTACTACATCAGGTTTGATAGACTACAGATGTTTGAAAACGCGCACCTGTGCCTTCCAAGTTTGATTCGCAGGGCTATTGAAATTTAAAAAAAAAACACTAATTTCAATAGAGATTAAGCTTGGTTTGGTAGCACCCATCGGCATAGGATCTTATCATTAATTAAATTAAATCTAGGCACAAACGAATCACTACTGCAAGAGTAGATAAAAAAACACCTGCGTAGATCGACACAAAAAAATGATTGATAATTTAAAAACTGGCGGTTGGCTAACAATGACGTTCAGACGTCCAACGCCCCAGTCTGTCCCTTGACCATGAGCGCTGAAAAGTATTCGAAACGTCGGAAAATAAAATTAAAAAATAAACGCGGTAAATTCTTTAAATTAGTTTTATTTATCAACGTGTAATCGCGTACATACAAGAAATTATCAAGTCCACAAAAAAAATATTTACTATCGAATTCATTTCGTTATTCGTTTTTTTATTTCTGCTAATATATTGTGACTTTCAGGATCTCGAATTGCGTATTTCAGTAAAAGTACCCAGAGGACCGAGCTTTGCTCGGTACCCAGAGGACCGAGCTTTGCTCGGTTTGTTTTTTTTGGTAAATCATGTATTTTGGAAATTACATTTAGATACAAATTACTGAGTAATGAAATATGCATAGTATTTTTCGATCTTACCGACGTAATAATAAGAAAATATGAACTGATGTTTTTCACAAAAGAAAGAACTTTAAAAAAAGAGGGAAAAAAATAACAAAATAACAAATCGACAAAAAATTAAAAATAAAGAAAGCAATGATCTGGAATCGAAAAAAAAGTAAAAAAATAAATGTGTAAATGATCGTGACGCGAACCACGACCGCCTGTTTCGGGGCCGCCCCATTACCGACCGAGCTATTATGACATTTTCTCTTGCGGCGAAATTTACCGTCATATTTGAATTATATTTTTCATTCCCTGAAAACAGGGATAAAAGCGCATTTTCTAAAAATGAAACCTAGCTAGATCGATTTTTCGCCCCCGAATCTATGCACATACTAAATTTCATGAAAATCGCTAGAGCCGTTCCCGAGATTCCGATTATATATATATATATATATATACAAGAATTGCTCGTTTAAAGGATAAGATAAGATAAAAGTTGTTTCTAGTGGCTATTTTTTCATACTGAACGAAAACAGACGGTTCATCAATCATACTTCTATATTAAATGCGTAGTGTTTACATACTGTAAATATAATATAAGTGTATATATAATATAACATGTGTGGGTGTTCGTTACATAGCCTAGACCTGCAATTTAAAATATAAGATCTACATTTGTTAAATATGGCGCAGTTGTCAAGATATTTGGCTTCACCACTGGGGTAAGCTCACGACGGGTTCAATTCACACGCAGGACAACTATTGTATGAACCACAGATTATTGTTTCGCATCTGTGTGTTTGTCCACATGAAATTAATGTTTGTCTTTCAAACAGGAACGGCAATGTTTTTATAAAAAACAAAAAACATTTCATATCTAAAGTAATTATATAAAAAATAGATAATAAATTGTATCTTGAAAATATTTCAGTTATTACCCGCGGCTAAATTAAGATTTTTTGATTCTTCTTGATTTGACGACCCGAATGGCGTAGTCGGTAGTGTACCTGCCTTCTGCGCCAGAGGGTGCGGGTTCGATCCCCGCTACTGGAAAAATATTGTGTGATGAGCATAGTGTTTTTTTAGTGTCTGGGTGTTTATACGTGTATAATGTGTATTTATTTACAAAAGAAAAGTATGTTTAAGTATGTCTATCAGTTTTCTAGTACCCATAGTACAAGCATTGCTTAGTTTGGGACTAGAGAACGTTGTGTAAAAAGAATGTGTCCTAAAAATATTATTTCATTCTGCAAAATGTTTATTTAGCCGCGGGTAACTGGACACGTACCGTACATAATTACAGAAGGCGAATGTTTTCATATTTACGTTCTAAACTTCTAACGCCGAGCACGCGACTGCAATAAAACTTATCGCCCCATTGTGCGTTGACGCGTTTCGAAAATGCGCGCTCGAATCGCTAGTAGGGCGAGCTGTGGCGCAAGCCACCGCACTCGATGAGAAAGGATGAAGATTTTTCAAATGAACGTGTTTCAAAATATGTGCTGCTAAATATCAGGTGGACCAACAAGAGTTTTCTGGTGCTATGTAAGCTGTTTCGCAGTTGTTCTTTCAACAATTTGCCAGCTCGGTCCGGCATCTATAACTAACTAAATAAGTAAAAAATTGTTTTTATTTATCTATAGAGATATAGAATGCTATAATCTAGATAGCTATACATTATGGATTTATTATTTCGCTGCACCATTAGATTTACAGCGGCACTCGTATGACCTTAGAGATCCGAATGGACTCTTTCGAAATTCAAAAGAGCGCAAATTCACATCATGTCCGTCTTCGAAATTCAAATTCGAACCGGCCGCAACATCTTAAGTGTCTTATCTTGCGCGATGTGTATAGTCTGTATGCGTTCCACGTTAACTTATCAACTTTACACACGTAAACTATTTATCTACCCGGCATCGGTTAAATTTAGTGTAACGGCACTCTGTTGTCTTGCGATATATATTCTCTTTTTCGACACGGTATAAAATGCCAAACTGTTAAGTTTTCATCGTGTTAAGTCTAAATACTTGTTAAGTAAATGCCTAGTCGTTCACCTGACAAATCATATAAGCACGTATGTCCATCGTTATAAGGCGTTTCGTGTTTATTAGGCGATGACCGTTTTAACGTAAATTATTTTAGTTGAATATAAATTAAAGGATAAAAATGCGCTCAAAGCAGACTTATTTGACAGACGATGATTGTTCACTACTCCCGTGTTTATTTGAAGCATTATGAATTTTATTTTTGATCGAATTCGATATCGCACTTTATTACATATTTCAATGTTCGCTAACGGCCCGTAATTGTATCCCATAATCGGGCGGCGGGTTTGTGGTGTAAATTAGAAAACCGCAATCTGTAATGCCTTTATGGTCATAAATGGCAGCCGTTGCGGCTATGTCGTTCACAGAGCACTCTCGGTGCTTTTGTTTATGTATTAATATTGTTTGTGTTTGAAATAATTGAACTGCAGTTAAACTACATATTGCCTACTGTGGTAGGGCCACAAAGCATCTTCGGCTGTTGCAGGGATGGGCAGGCACGTCCGGGGAAGTAGCACATTATCA